ACGAACGCAGATTGGGCGCGGGATCACCGCTTTGGGTGATGGAATTCCCTTGAACCCTGAGCCCCAAGACTCTGAATCCTTGAACCGAACCTGAACCCAAAACTCAAAACCCTGAAACCCAACACCAAACCTGAACCCTAAACCGCAAAAATCCTCAAAGGACGGAATCCTTAAAGTGCCCCTTATTGCACACGTGTGTATCCTGTTCTAGTACTCTAGCACTTAGCACCCCACCTTCGTACAGCACCCAATTATAGTATCGTATTACAGTGCCCTTAGAGTATGCCCATTTTCCTTAAAGGATCCCTTAATGAGCCTACAACAATGAGCACCTGCGCCACCGGGCTGTCGCCGGAAGTCACATCCTCGATGGCGATTCGGCGCCCCATTGAGGAGCTTACTGAGGACTGGAGGGCTTTTCAGGAGCTGTTTTAAGATGTATTTAAGGTTTGAATTTGTCATACTTTTTGAATTGTTTTAGGTGTTTAGTTGGGAGGTCAGGGTTCTTGATATTAGTTGCGTACCAGCTACTCGGGGCTATGGATGTACTTCCCGAGGACGAGGCCGAGGCCATCAATCAGCATCGGCAGCGCTCCTTTGGCGAGTCTGCTGCAATCGGGAGCTGCGAGGCATTCAGAACGCACTACGGCAACGGGGCCCTCCTGATCGCCATCGTGCCCTCCTCAAGCTCGACGGCGACCCCACTGCCGGGCGAATGGCTGGCCTTCGCCGTACTCCGGCACATGCCAGACATTGTTGTAGGGGGCGGTGAAGCCGCACAAGCCTTTCCCTGCATTGGGGTATGTTCCGTGATTGCAGTTCGGCGCGGCCAAGGGTACGGCCGACAGTTGATGGATGCGTTGCGCGTGGTGATGGCAGATGAGTTCCCGGGCTACCAGGCGCTCGGCTTCACGAACTCGACGGGCTTCTTTGCAAAATGCGAGGGCTGGGGGACCCTACACGATTTCATCAATGCTTTTGAGTATGTTGACCACTCCACTGGAGAGCATGCTCTAGACGACGACGGGGATGCCTTCTTCTTGCAGCCCAACTCTGACCTTGGCAACCGCCTAGTTGAGGAAACCGTCCGGCTCGCCACGTGGCCCGTAGAGCGTGAGCATGGGAGCGAGGTCCCTACTCCGGCCGCTCGAGCGGTCATTTCTGTTCCGTTCTGGTGAGAGCGAGGGGGCAAGGCGCATGATGAACAGGCTTTGATAGGGGTTTTCAGAAAATTGGGGGTGACTTTTGTGGAGGTCCTTAACCTAAGGAATCTAGATTCTTAAGGTCCATAGACTGCCATAGACGCCATAGGCCCTGGATGAAGGAGACTTTAGGGCCAGGCCTTCAGGCTTCAGGGAGGCAACAAGCCCCAGATCACACATCCAAAAGCCCGGACCACCCCCACTCTAGAAGCTTTGATTCCGAAATCCTGCAGGCTATACTAGTCGGCATTTCCTGTTTGACAACAGGACTGCAAATGGGTGTTATTCTCGTATTGTAGCTCCTGCAGGATGACGAGACTTAAGACTGAGGAGGATGCAGCATTGCCCAATGCATGCATTTCGCTGCAATCGTAGCAGTGCCGCAGTTCCCCAGCCCATGCATCGCGAACTGAGAGCATGGAGTCCAGATGCAGGTAGTTCTCCTTCGTTGTGGTCTCTGCCGCCAGGCCTGAGCCGGGTTTTCGGTTTAGGGCAAGGGCGGTGCAGAGCTTGGGCTTTTCAGGTCTGCCATCACTAGCATCAAGAGGATGTTTTCAAAACTGTCGCGCTCCTACACTCGAACAATCGCTCATTTAAGAGCGAACTTTCTTTAACACTTGCCGTTTAAGCTTCGAGATTGCCCTGGCAGAGGTGGACCAGGCCACTGTTGATGATGTCCGGGAGATTGCCTCTGCTGTGCACAGAGGCCGACCTGCGAACCGCACTTCTCTGGAATCTGCAAGCTCTTCCCACTCCAGGTGCATCCCCAAGGGAGCTCGGGGAGCTCTTCTTGAGCCGAGGACGGGAACCTATCTTATTGGCCAAACGCGCAAACGCTGCCTTCGACAGTATCTGCACGATGTTGTGCTGTTCAAGTATGGTGCCGCGATGTAAGCATGGAAATTCATTAATTGCTGCGATTTTGCTGGGTTGCCGGTGAAGCAGGCTTGAGACCCTAGTCATCAAGAGGGATTCGCTTCAAGAACGCTATGACCTCTACTGTATCTCAACACTCAGGCTCGGACAACCCAGCCCACAGGCTTAAGGGGGTGGGAGACAGATGGGAAGGGCTGTTTAAACGAAAGCTGAACAGTCTAACCATACGAAAGTTGCCTCAATAGAAGCTTGCAGAACCAAACCAACAGACAGACAGGTCGATACAAGAGATTCCTAAAGAGATGCTTGCTTGCGTGCCCGGCTGCCTGCCGGCCTGTTTGTCGGTCTGTCGCGCGCAGTCAGACTTATAGCAGAGCCACAAAAGCACCCCTGTCTGCCCAGTCCACGGTCGAGCCGGCGGCCGGCCGGAGGAGGCGAAAGCCCCGTGTTTTTTGACATAAGCGGGCTGAAGTTCTGAAGCTCGGAGTTGAGGGCGGCTCTTCTTTCGGCCTAAGAAATCTCAGCGATAAGAGCATGGGCATTCCTTGTGAAAGTCTTTTCCATCACATCAGCACTGAAGCAAATTCCATTAGGATCCGGACCGGCCGTATGTCGAGAGAGCTGGAAGTTGGCCTGATGTTGCTGGGAGGTCGTGGACCCTGAGGGCTTCTACTCCAGCATTGCCAGTCTGCTGGGCGGTGGCCCGAGTTCAGGAAACAGGCTCCGAGTATGCAGAGCTGCTCTGCCGAGACCGTTCGGCCTTTGTGCAAAGGGGGTTGAACATCGAAGAGGGTCCAGAATCGTTCATGCCCCTCAAGGTAGTTTTTCAAAGTCTAACAGTCCAACAGGTCTCCAGCATCCTTTCTACAAGCCAGATGCCCGTAGCATGAGCTTGCTGTTCATTCTCCCAGGGCTCACCTGCTTGGCAGAGAGTGGCGGAAGCGGCGTGACGCAGCCGCTGGTGCCACTCTGATTTTGCTTGGTGGGAGGATTCGAGTGCCAAAGCGCAGAGGATGAGGGATTTGAGAAGCGAAGCAGTCTTTTTGGCTCTTTCCTCAGTCATGAGTAGTTTGCTATAGCCTGGTGCTACTAAGCTCCTATCTCTGCCCCCCGAGCTCTCAGCCCCAAAGCCCCCCAAAGCTCCCTTCTGCTGGGCCCTCTCTTCATTTCCTCCTTCCGCTCGCAGCGCGGAGCGCTGCTCCTCCACCGGGGCCTGGAAAAACTCCGGAGCCGGGGCCCCAGAGAAGCGGCTGGAGGCGGAGAACGGGGAGGCAACGAGAGCTTGCAGGTCTTCGGGTCTTATTCTTGGAAGATGCTACTTGTTTCAAGAGGCGAGGCGAGGTGGTTTTCCCCCACCTGCACATGAAGTTTTTCCTGATGCCTCTGTGGTTGGATAGCGCAATCCGGACCGGATTCATACCCATTAGCGCATGAGTTGGAACACTCTTCCACTGAAGCCGGCAGAGGTGCTGCCTCGACCCCTTCAAAGTTTTTCGAACCTGTTGGGCCCCAGCCCAGGCCACCGAGTCCGTGCGAGCGCAGCCGCCAGCTGAGTCCACAGCACACCTAGTAAGCCACAAGCCCGCGTGCGCCTTGTGACGCCGACGGTATCAGGCCCATTTGCAAGTGGCCACTGCGGCGGTAGCCGCTCATGGTGCCCGGGACTGAGTGCGTCCAAGGCTTTCGTGGAAACCTGCGAGTCTTGCAGCGGACCTTGTGAATGTGAACGAGTGACGATGCCGAGACGGCAGGAAGGGAGATCTGAGCTGTGAGCATTCGAGAACACCCTGGGCCTTTGCTGGGCAAGGTTTGCTCCCGTCTGGATCCCTTCAGTGACGGCTGCCTTTATGAGGCACTCCTGGAGGCTCTGCTTGGGAAAAGGTTCCGGCGGTTCTTGGGCTTGTGTTGAGTGAATCTGAGTACTTCCAGTTTTGGCCCACGGGCGTTTGTAAGTCTAAGCCCGGCCCGTGACTCCAAGCCCCGCACTGGCAGGTGGAGGGCGGCAAGTTCTGAGCATCGAAGATTCGACTGCTCCGAGCGTTCCAAGGGAGCTTTGGGCAGCCAGAGCTCCCGAAGGCGCGAACTCGCGCACATTTTCAACGTATTTCTGGGGATGGAAATGGTATGTTCAGTTCAGCAAGAGTCCCAAACAGCACTCCGTTGTGCCGCAAGCCTTTTGCCTTCTCTTCGACCTTGCCAAGAAGTTGAGGAAAAGCTGTTTACGCAGGTTGCGTGATTACCAGCTCTCATCACACACGCCCGTTTCAAGCAGGTGTGTGTGGGCTGTGTGCTTCCATCACTGGATTTTCGTCAGCTTAGCTGCCGAGTCCGGGTCCCGAGCCACTATGCACTCCGAGTCATAGGAGCCAATACACCAAACGTGGAGTGGATGGCCCACGAATGAGAGGCATAACATGGCTGGCAAGGCATACCAAGTGGCTTGCGACTCGCACATCATCTCGCGGCAGCTGCACGAGCAAAGAGCGAGTGAGTGGTGAAGGAAGGAGCGCTGTCAGCATGTTTCTAATTTCGCAGGCCAGCGGGGTTGCGGCTAGCACGGTTCTAGGCGGCTCTCACAGAAGCTTTCAAACGTCTGTGAAGCTGTACCAACAGGAGGAACAGGCAAATCTGGAGAGCATGTGCGATGTTCAACGCATGGGGCGTATGTTGAATGTAGGTCAGCCGGCCACATCAGGGGCAAGTTTTAGGCGATTTCGACTGCCTCCTCACCTGGATGCCACACGCCTGCTCGAGACCATCTGCGTGTGCAAGAAAAGCTTCAGCTTCGAGGATTCGATAATTCAAGCTTGGGCATTTCCAATCTGCCGCCTCAGAGCTGCGTGGTTGTGGTGGTTTCTTCGGTGTCTTCATCAGCACTTGTTCCAAGGATCATAGCACAGGGTTTGTGAATCTCCCGCGCAGGCCGACCCTGCCGCTGACGAGCTGGTCAGGCCTATAGTTTTGGGTTCGGTCTTGAACATCGCGGGACGTTGCCATAGCCCTCATCTCCGGCGAAAGACCGAATGCTGCGAGGAGTCTCTACCCTGAATCCTTGCAGGCGGATCGACAGAGAGGACCGAGACGGCCCCAAAGCGGCAGTCAGGGCCTTCTTGCTTTCCACTTCTCAATTTACACCACGTTCGCTGAGACTTGTCAAGGCCAGTTGTACACATCTTGTTTTCACAACACCATAGACAGTATCAATCATAGACAGTATCAATCGCAAGATTCGAGGCCTCACCGGCGCCTAAGACGCCACCAAAGGCCACGGTTACTTTGTTCAGTGCACTGAGTTTGTGAGTTCATGCGGATTCAAGGTGTACCAGGCTTGAGGTTCGAACGTGTTCGTCACACTGTGAACTAAGCATCGGACTGTCGAGAGCGTGTGCGAGACGAGGAGCAGCCTAGCGGGTTCCCACCATTTCCATAGTGATCGATCGATGCACAGGCACCGCCGAAGAAGGTGCCGCCTCCCCCGGCGAAGCCACCGCCAAAGGAGATCTTACAGGTGGGTCTTTGACGTGCCTCCGCTGTCAGTGTCTGCAACTGATGCTCCCCAGACGTCCTCATGCAAGTGTTGGTCGCAGGGTGCCGAGGGCGCCGCCAGGTGCCGCTGGGAAGCTGTATAGGGCTTGCACTGCAGAGGTTCAGATGTCTGGCCACCTTCCCGTGCAGAACTAACTCAGAACTGAGTAGTGTTCAATTACAGGGTCTTCTTCAGCATCGTGACCTTCGCTTGAGAATCACCAAATCCCTGAGCGCGATATTACTTTCAGCGGAGTTATTGCCCCTCGCCCGCTCTGCCAGCAAAAGTAACACCAATTTACTTCAGGCAAGGGTGGTGCCATAGCTAGCAGGCAGCGCAAAGACTGAGACACAAGTAAAGGCGGAACATCCTAGCATACAAAACATGATTGGAAAACAGCAACAGCAAGTGTGGGTCAGGCTGCTTCTGCAAGCCCGAGAATTTTTCGAATGGGTTTTACACACCTTTCAGGGGCTTCTTCAGGTGTTGCCAAAGTTGGAAGTTCTTGCTTCGTCTCCGCACCTCTGCAGGACGCTCCGGAAGGCGATCGAGGCCGGGAGCACTTGATCCCTGCCTCGATTCGGAAACCGCAAGAGCAGGTTTGGCTGGTCAGGTCTTCGTTTGCTCCCCGACTTTCAGGCAAACCATTCGGGGGTGTGAGGCAGAGTGGCATCGTAGTCTAGATCCTCGCGTTTAGAGAGCTCTTCCGCTGGCAAACCAAGTCGCCTGTGTCACCAAACTTTGAACGCCATTGCATTGCAGAGCCGTGCAGAATCCTTTTCCCGCTGCTGCAGCAGGAAGCTTCGAAAAAACGGCCGCCTGTCCCAACCTCAGAACATTTTGAGTCCAGTGACTGCTTGGGCAAACAAGGGAAATTAATCAGTCCGCCGAAGAATATGTGCTCTCCAAAGACTGCCAAGAGCACCATCCTAGGACCTCGGACTTTGTCTTGTTCTTGAAATAGACCTGTCAGAGTGCTAGGTTTTGGAGAAGCACGCCACGGTGAAGCACCAAGCAAGTCGCACACAGAGCTGAAGAGGGAGAGAGAGAGAGAGACAGAGAGAGCGCGAGCGTGCGGGAAAACCCCTTCACCCTAGCCCTGGCGAAAGAAAGAAAGAGCGCACGGCCCCCTTTGCTGGGCCCAGCAGAGTCTTCTCTGCGTGGCAGGAACCCAAGCAGGCTCCACCGAAGCAGGCGCCGCAGAAGCTTTGGCCGACAGAAAAGGCCACCGGATCTCGACCTTTTTCAACTCAGCTTCGGTAGTTCTGTTGCAGCTGGCGGCTAGTGTTGTTGAGCCGAGCATGAGGAAACGTCTTTATCTTTATGTACACTGCGGGTATTGTCCGAGTTACCGACGGAAATGCAACGCTTTGCCGAATATGAAGCTGCTGGTCCGAGTGGGACATCGCGAAAACCCTAGTCAACTGCTGCTGTGCACACTAACTCTTCCGCAAGCATGTCTGCAAGCCCCGCAACATGGTGCTGCACAGGACGTTGGCCATATTCAGCCATCACCTTGCCTGCTCATGCACACCCCGCCCGAACCGACTTCTTTCCATGACAGGCGCATCCGTCGGCGAAGGCGCCAGCAGCGCCCGCAGCAGCTGCGCGGGGCTCCACGCCGCCACCTCCACCGCCCCAAGGGCCACCGCCCGGCACCGCCCCGCCGCCAAAGGCACGGCCAGCAAGCGCGAGCCGAATGGCGGCAAAGGCTCCGTCGACACCGCCACCCGCACCGCCGGCACCGGCACCGCCGGCACCTGCCTCACAGCCACCAAAGCCAAAGCCAAGCGCACCAAGTCAGCCGGAGCCTCGGATTTGTGTCGCAGTGGTTCTGCTACATCACTCTGGCTTGTTTTGTGTATGAGAGCACGTCAAGGTCGAACTTTGTACAACGACACTGTCAATGATCGCCTGAAAGGATGCTGAAAGCATTTGGCCTTGACTTTAACTGCCGGGACAATCCCCTGAACCAATTGAGTAAATGGGGTCCGCGGCAAGACACAGCTTTATGTGCATGCGTACCTACAGACATCCCATACTACTACTATCGCATGGAGATCTCTGGACAAGTGAGTGGATGTAGCATGCCCTGCAACCCATCAGTTGCCGGGCTTCGGTAGCGCAGCGAAATCCCAACACATCACAAAAGCTCAGGTCTTACGGAAGGCGAAAGCGGCAGGAGACCATGAGAATCAACTTCACTCAAAAACTTTTTTTGGCCTCGTGCACAGAGCCGGCTGCTACCCTGCACAACCGAACAGTAAGCTGCCACGGACCGCATCTGATGGAGATCTCCGAGGACAACTCAACAAACTCAAAAATGCGAGGCTTCTGATCTAGAGCAGCTTCATGAGCAGGTAGCTCGTCCGGAGCGTGGGCTTGCCAAACACAGAGGCTAACGGAAACGGAAGCGGAACTAAAATCAAGGCAGGAATGGCTCGATTTGTGGTTACCAATGTGGGTTTCCCGGTTGAGAAGACCGGCCGCCAGCCCTCCTGTTTTCCCTAAATATGAAAACGGACATGTGCAGTCTTCCCTGCTGAGGTTTAAACACACTGAAGCTGACACAGCCGCTCCAGGAGTCAGCGATCTCTTTGTCTAAATGTACCTTGCTGATGCTGTGAGGCCGGCAGTGCCGCCGCCACCGCCTGGGCCTCCTCCGCCACCGCAGGCCTCTCTTGGCGGCACAGTGTTGTAAGCCAGCAAATCAGGCAAAGGCCATCCGGCGTCTGAAAGGATGTGCCATGCTGGGAGCTTCTTGATCCCGCGAAGGTTGCGCGCACATTCTCCCGGATTGATATCGATATCGAGTCATGTCGCTGACGAAACAACTTACACACTAGCTGAAAGGCTTGAGAAGGATTTCAGTCAAGGCAGAGCCTTGTTGAAGTGCGATGCCGCGTTTCAGAGTCCTATGACTGTGACAAAGACCTAAGATGCGAAACTGTCTCACAACAGATTTCTCGGCAGGTGATGCCGAAGGCGGAGCTGAGACCCCGGATGCCCCAGCAGGGAAAGCCGCAGCCGCCAAAGACGCCCCCGCCGACGATCCCCAAGGCGGTGACCTTCCCAGCCGCAAAGGCGTCGCCCGCCAAGATGGTACCCCCGCCTCCCAAAGCCAGCGGTCCCGCCCTCACTTGATTGCAGCTCCTTGAGTCCTACCGGAGCAGTCAGCGAGCTGTGGCACTGCATATCTGCACATTATCGGAACGCACATTGTCAGACTCCGTCTGAAACCAGCAGTCTCCCGACTTGGTCTGTTTCTGCACTGACTTCCTGCGGCTGGGCTGGTCTGACTTCCTGCCAGGGATTGTCTTTGCGCCTATCCTGCCAGAATGTGTCTTTTTGCACGGCTGTTGCCATCGGAGTCGCATGGATGCCCACGAAGTCTCATGATTGGCTAAGGTGCACAAGGCCGAGACAGAAGCCGCAGTCGCGACAGGCCGGCCATGTCGAAGATGCCTTGAAGATCCTGCATTGAGACACGGCCCCACCTGGCGGCCTTGAGCCGGCGGTAAGCTCGTACCTCTTTAGTCGTTTAGTCGTTTGATGGGGTTTCGCTCTGGCATCTGGGACGCGCTTTTTATGACAAGGCAGCAAGAATCGTTTTGCACACACAGTCGCGTTCTTTGCCAACGGCTCTGTTGGCATCTGCTAGTGATGCTGTGGGTTCGATGCCAATCTGTGACATATCCCAGCTGCCTATGAAGGTCAGAGGCGCCGGGCAAGGCGCCGGGCGAGGTGCCCAAGACCGCTTTTTGGTGGGTTTTCGGTTTGGGCCGGCCGTACTTAGTTTGGCGGCAAGGATGGGAGGAGCCGAAACAAGACAGTCCCGCAGGAACATCGAGTCTGAACGTAACCTGTTACGGGATCTGTTGGACTGCAGGATCGCCACCGTTAGTCCATGTCTAGCAGCCCATACAACACTATCTCCGACAGACACGGAGCTTAATTCACTCACCATACCCGGCTCCAAAGACGACACCACAACGTTTGGAGGCGGCAGACGACATGGCCGCCTTCCTTCGCGAGCTGGACCCCTCCGGCCAGATGGACGGGTGCCCCTCATTTAGCAGAGTGGTGAAGTGCACGACAAAGGTGCCCGAGATTCTGCTGTGAAAAGGATTGCATCAGCAATTGCAGCAGTCTGTGGGTTGGATGCACTTGAGTGCGTGTGCGTGTTCATTGCTGCTGAAAACTTAAGGGCTTGGAGCCGCACCCCACTTAAAATCTTCCCCGCTGCGCAGAAGCTCTACTGTACAGTTGGCACTAAACTCACGAAGGTGCACGAGTGGCACTGTCATCGTTATCCGATGTCTCGACCTTGTTGCCACAAGCGTGTGACCCTTTTGCAGGTACGCCGCTCGTCTCCGCAGCGAGTTCGGCAGCCGTG